AATACTGTTTTGATAGAAAAGATAAGTCTCCTTCAAAGTATGTTTTATACTTTTTTAATGAAAATTAGCGTTAATCTTGCACTGAATTTTTCTAATTTTAAATTTTGAATTTGTGTGCTTAGTTTCCACGAGCAACCAATATTCCCATCTCCTGCAAAATGAATGCATCATCACTTTTTCAAAAGTCTAAAACACAATAAATCTCTTGACGATCATATAAAGTTCCAGAGGAATTCACTTTTGTGGAAGTGAGCGTTTTAACGAGGCGGCATTCAGTAACGATATTTATTTATGTTTTCAGAAATAATGACTATTTTTAGAAATGGTCATCTTAGGAAGGTGGTGTCACAACAGGGTTCATTGTATCTATAGAATGAAAATAAATTTGCATTTCGTTTTTTCCTCACCATTAAAGATAAAAAACTCTTTTCTCTGGATTATTATCATTTTAATCTTGCACTTTTATCGCATTACTGTTTTTAATAAAGAAACTTGTGTAACGAAAGATTTACCTCTGCCAAAGTTACAATATTCCAGAGATTAAACGAAGTTTTAAATTCGAAGAATTCTTCCAGTTTTGAAGTGGATAGAAGTATTGGAAAAGATACCGGAAAAGCGGATTTATGAATTAAAAGTTCCCACGTCACTTGAATTTTGGGTGACCCCTTGTTCTTAAAATAAAGAATATATTCAGTATTTTTACATGTTTAATTAATGATTTATTATTCCGTCTAGAATGTGATTCCCCTCGTAATTGCGACTTTCTCGAACCCATAAATTTGCTTCTGCGATACCGACTATTGAGAAAATAATCAAAATTCTAAATATATCTATAGAAACAAAATTAATCAAGCAAAGCAGTAATAACAATTTTTGAAAAACCAATTTTGGTCAAGAAAACATCTTGCGCAATATGCTGCAAAATAAGTAAAAAATAAAAATTGTAGAAAGCTCGCCTAAAAGTTACCAAGAGCTGCTGCTCCAAAAGGTTAAAGACGTTTTCAAAAATTAATACACATGAAAAGCAAATCATTAGACATGTAAAACATAAATACAATAAAATTAAATAACAGAAAAAGTTAAAAAGTAAGCGGAAAATGGTAAATTAGCCCAATTCGACATCCAAACAGGCTTTTCAAGGGAAATTTCATTTATTTGAACGTCGAATCAAGCTAACCCCATTACGCGTTTCGCCGAAACAGACAATAAAATTATAGTACGAACAAAAAATTCATCTATAACTGAGAAGACAGATGAAAATAATCAACTATAATTTGATATGGAGAAGGAGGGAATGTTCCTAATATGTAAGTGGAAATGAATTGCAAGAGCTATTTTAATGCAATGTAAAAATTATACATAAATAAATAAAATGTTCTTCTTTGTTCTAGGTTAAATTTTCAATTTAATGGCAAAATCTAAAAATCAGTCCCTTTCCCTAATTCCGTTTTTTCAAGTCCTCTTATTTAATACGTCACTTTCTAGAGTAATTAGGATTTTTAAAGAAGCAAACACAAAACATGAACAATGCCCTCGCCGAGACTCGAACCTGGACCTCTCGAATACGCGACGAGTGTGCTACCGTTACACCATAGAGGCATGCAGAAAGTAGGGAGAAAATACTTTACAGACTCCTCCTTTTAAAGGGCGTCTGGAAATTAAAGAACCCAATCGCCAAATCCTGGCGGTAAAGAATCATCATTCACCACCTTTTAGTTTGGGCGTCACTGTAGAGTGATTAGGTTATTTTGATGCTGGAGACAAGAAATATGAGCAATGCCCTCGCCGGGACTCGAACCTGGATCTCTCAATTACGCGCCAAGTGTGCTAACCGTTACACCACTAAAGCATGCAGAAAAAGGGAAGAAAGGCGACTGGAGATTAAGGGTCCCAATCGCCAAATAGTGGTGAAGATTCATCATCCACCACCTTTTAGTTCGGGTGCCACTGTAGAGTCATTAGGAATTTTGAAGTAGGAAACACGAAAAATGAGCAATGCTCTTGCCGGGATTCAAACCTGGACATTTCGAATACGTATACTACCTGAGTATACTACCGATACACCACGAAGGAATGCAGAAAGGAGGGGAAAATACCTTATAACTTTTATATATATAAGTCAGGAGGGTGTCTAAATTCGATTGCATTATTTTTAAATTTACTTTTCTGTCATTCTCTCTTCTTCTTCTTTGTTCTTTTCAAAATGAAATTTAGCTCTCTCTTTCATTTATTTGGAACAGAATTATTTTAACATTCACGAATTTAAAACCTGTAATGAACAATTTATAAATTAGTAATAACACTATTTAAAGTATTGACTATTTTTGATATACTCGTATTAAATATTATTGAAATTACTTTTAAAGTTTCTCAGTATTTATAGAAGTACAATGTACGCCTACCTACTATATCAGAAAATATATTTTCCCAGTATTCAGTAAATTTCCAAATGCAAAACTTGTTACGTTACACAGAAATTATTTTAAGTTGCTAAAAACATCATAAACACAGATTTGTTGAATTCGGTTCCACCGTTTTCGTCTCTGTTCTATACATTCGAATTTACCAATTTCGAATGTATAGAACAGGGATGGTAAAAATAGCACATATCCTACCCAAGGAAATATTACTGACATGAGCTAACTTCTTTTAAGTTCGTAATTTACTTTACTTGTAATTTGTTACTAACTAAATACAATTTATCGAATTATTTTAATGTATCATTATTTATTGAAGTACAAGGGTTATTCATTTAACAGTCTCTAGGTCTTAATTTCTAAAATTAGAAGTGCCGGAGCCCTAAAAGACTGTCAGGAAGGAGGGGAAAAAAATTAAGAAAAAAAAAAAAAAAAAAATTCTGAAAGGGTTCGGATTTGAACGATCGTCTAAAAGGATCGGTTAAGTTTTTTTACGCCCTCGCTTAGCTTGCAGTGTACCAGTCTGCTGTTTCACTAACTCCTTCTAACCCTTTGCTTTTCAGCTTTATTATAATTAAGCATAATTTTCTTTGCACTTACATTATATGCAAAGGCTGTTCGCACAATTTTTAGACGAGTTTCCTTGCATTTACAGAAATATTTTACCTAACATTTTTGTGTTTTAAATGTTCCGTTTGATAACCTTTATTCTTCATTAACTTCCTACATCGTAATTTCAGAAAATAACAGAGGTTTCTGTAGTGTCAGAAGAACTATTTTATCCCATTCTTCTTGAACAGCTTTCTAAAGTCCAAGAGGGCTAAGTTGACGTTTAATATAGTTGCTTTTAAAAGTCTAAAAGCGCACAAATCCATGGATGATACATCAAAATATTTAGCAGGGATATGAGTGAAGGTTAGGAGCTTGATACCCGTCTCTTGCCCCCTTTTTTCCCAGAAAATTAACAGTGGATTTTGTTTGCTTCGTCTTGATGCAGTTCTACTGACTGATGGCACTGTGGCTAAAGAGAAGTTATTTAATATTTGAAAATTGGGCATCCGACATATTCCTGATAATATGTGGAATTGATCTTAACATTTTTATCCAGTCTCTTTGATAAACTTTTAGATTCTTTGAACCATGTTTTAAGATCTTTTTTTCTTCTCTCTGATGATAATAATGGATCTCTTTCTATTGTAGTCATTTAAATACACCCAAGATTCATCTATTAGAAAACATCTTTTCTAGTTTTTTCTAGATACATGTTTCTTATAAAGAATTCTGCAGCGTGTTCTACGTTCGATGATACGTCGTTGAGGAAGACGACGCACATTATGCCTCTTTCGCCTTTTTAAGATTCAAATCAGCATTAATCACTTTGTTTACAGTTGACAGTGAGCATTTTAATGATTTTGCTATTGTCCTTTGACTTTGGCGGAGTTTCTTTTAACATTAAAGATCTTACTTTTGCAAAATTCGATGTATTTGGAAGAATTTTTCCACTTGAAGCCAAACTTTGACTTTTTTCCTTTCTTGCTGACAATATTACCTATCGCAGCTTTTAGATATCGAAAAACCATGGCTTTCATATGCTTTGTAATAACTACGAGTAGATGCAAATATTTGTCTTCGAAAAGAGCACAGACATAGCCTTCCATCCATTGCTTCTTTAAAAGCGCCATTTTGCATGAAAACAAAGCTATCGAGAAGCAGACGATAATTTATACTTTCAAATATATAACTGCATTTAAAAGAATTTCCAAACAGACCACTTTTATTTATAGCAAAGCAAAATCGTCTAAAAAATGTGCTAACAACCTCTGTACAATTCAACAGCAAAATTACAAAATTTTTAAAATCAGCATAGCAGCGTATGTTTAGAACTTCCGATTCGTTAGTGTTAGCACACATTTTCTCATATTTTCAGTCTTTTATTAGTTCATCATATCATTGTTCAGTTTTGTCAGTAAGATGGCTTATAAAATCTTTTTTTTTTTTAATTTATTATTATTGTTAAGGTTTTGTGTGTTAACTTTATTAAATATTATGTTTTACGCAATCATGCCACATAAAATTCAGTTCAACAGGAAAATCACAAAACATTTGAAAACAGCATATCTTTAAAATTTTCGACATACATTTCTCGCGTGCTGGAGATAAAAATGTTTTATTCCGTACAGTGTTGTCACTGCTCGATTTCAAATCGTTGAGTTTGTTCATCGAAACTTCATTAAAGTTTTAGAAAACATGAAATATAAAATTCGAAGTTCAAAATTTGGGCTTACATGCGAAGACGTTCGGATGGAGGACTATTGTTAGCGGATGGAAAGTAGACACAAACGTTCGTTATTGCGTTTATTAGACTGTGTGAAAAACAAGTTCGTACAATAGATATACAGGTAGTTCGGCGCTCGCAGGCGCCCTCTTGCAGGGAACAAAAACAAAATTTACATAAGGCGCGAACCTGCCGCCCACCTTGAAATACTATTTCAACATTTAGTGGTTAAAATTCAGTAAATTTAAAACACAATACAATATTAAAATTATGATATAATACTTAATTTATAATACATGAATTAAAATTCAAATTGGTAATGAACACAATTTTGTAATATTTCTTTTAACCATGCCATCTGAAGTCTTAATAATAGTCACAATCCTAACAATATTATCAAAACCAGGATGTAACTGAGTAATTCTACCCATTTTCCATTTAGTTGGAGGTAAGTTATCCTCCTTTATGAGACACAGATCATTAACTTGAAGATTTTTAGTTGGCAAAAGCCATTTTGGTCTTTGTTGTAATCGACACAGATATTCTTTGTGCCAACGCTTCCAAAATTGTTGAACCATTTTTTGAATATGTTGCCATCTAGTGAGATGGGAAACTTCAATGCAATTTGGTTCAGGAATGCTTGTTAATGATCTACCAATAAGAAAATGACCAGGCGTCAATGCTGATAAGTCATTTGGATCATTAGACAAACTTGTTAAAGGTCGCGAATTAAGACAAGCGAATTAAGAAATGTTTCAAATTCTTCATATGTCAATCTCGCCTCACCAACTACTCGTTTTAAACGGTATTTTGTTGATTTTATGCTAGCTTCCCAGAGTCCACCCATATGTGGCGCACGTGGAACGTTTAGATGCCATTTAATGCCATTATCAACCAAATATCTGCTAACATTTTGGTTATAAGTTGCAGATCTAGCAAGCCTTTCAAATTCCATCAGTTTGCGTTTTGCTCCAACAAAATTGGAACCACAATCGCTATATATATCACTGCTTTTGCCTCTGCGGGAAATGAACCTCTCAAGAGCTGCAATAAAAACATCTGCTGAAAGATCAGTCACCAATTCTAGGTGAATAGCTCTTGTCGTAAAACAAACAAATAGAGCTATATATGCCTTGAATGACCTAGAGCCTCGACCCTTATTTGCTTTAATTTGAAAAGGACCTGCGTAATCCACTCCACAGCGCAAAAACGCAGGAGCAGGCGAAACGCGACTAGACGGCAAATCGCTCATCAATTGATTAGTGACAGATGCTCTAATTTTGCAACACTTTATACATTTCCTAACTAAATCTCTGATAACAGCTCTACCATTTATGATCCAATATTGTTCTTGAATGCAAGATTGCATAAGTTGTGGACCTGCATGCAAAAGTCTTTCATGGTAATGTCTAACAATGAGATGAGTTAAAATGTGCTTCTTTGGAAGCAAAATTGGATGCCTAAAACCATATGCAAAGTTTGCATGTCGCAAGCGACCGCCCACCCTGAGAATACCTAAATTATCTAAAAATGGATTTAAAGATAAAATTTTGCTTGTACCAGATAATGATTGATTTCTGCCTAAAGTGTTAATTTCATTCTTAAATTCAACATATTGCATTAATTTAATTAACACATGCATAGCTTTAGTTAATTCACTAGTTTTTAAAAATCCACTTACCTGATCTTCTGAATTTTTACAGTTATTTACAAACCTCAGACATAATGCTACAACACGTTTAAGTTTAGTGAGAGAAGAATATTTATAAAATAAATCATGAGCGTCTGTCAAGTGACTGGCAGCAGTTGTTGACTGTAAAGCACATCTTTGCTCTGGCACAGAATCATTCAGTAGTGGTGCAGATAATGCTTGCTGAAAAGGAAATAAATTATACAATAAATCTGGACCACGTAGCCACAATGAAGTAACCAGTGCAGATGATGACACACCACGCGTTGCAAGATCAGCAGGATTAGCATTTCCACTCACATGATGCCACTGGACAGGAGAAGATAAAGTCTGGATTTTTGCTACTCTGTTGGCGACGAAGGTCTTCCATCGGCTTGCATGAGATCTTATCCAGGCTAATACAATAGTGGAATCAGTATGAAAATAAACTTGCGATATAGGAGTATTTAAAGCCCTACAGGTGAAATCCATGAATTTAGTCAACAGTAATGCTCCACAAAGTTCCAATCGGGGAAGTGATAGGTTTTTAGTGGTGCAACTCTTGTTTGGCTATCACCAACTGAACATTAATTTGTCCAGTATCTAACACAGAACGATAATAAATTGCAGCGGCGTAGGCCTTCTCTGAGGCGTCACAAAACCCGTGCAGTTGAAACTTGTTATCTGATTCAACCAACAAGAAATCGTGAAATTTTGATACTTTTAATGGAATAACAAATCTTCTGTAAGTTGTTTCCACTCACATTCAATATCTGGAGGAACCTTTTCATCCCACTGAAACTGATGTTTCCACAATCTTTGCATAATCAATTTATACCGAACCGTGATCGGTGCCAACCATCCAAGAGGGTCAAAGGTCTTTGCGATTATTGAAAGTAATGTTCGTTTGGTTAAGACTTCAGGATATGATGAATTGACTTTGAATAAAAACATATCTGAAGCTGGATGCCACAGGATACCTAACGTTTTTACAGTATCATCATTGTCTATGTTCAAAGAAACATTTGATAAGCACAAATCTGGATTAATTGAATTCAAGACTTCTTTGCTGTTAGAAGCCCATTTTCTTAGAACAAATCCTGCACGTGACAACATCTGATTCAATTGCATTTGTAATTCTATAGCTTCAGTAACTGAACTGGCTCCGGACATCAATCAACGTAGAAGTCCCTAAGACATGTCTTGGAAGCCAAAGGAAAATTAGTTGCTTCATCTATGGCTAACTGCTGTAAACATTTTACCGCAAGGTACGGAAGCTGATGCAGTACCGTAAGCAATCCTAGTTAATCGAAAATCCTGAATTGGTTTATAAAGTGAATCGCGCCAGACTATTCTCTGAAAGTCTGCATCTTTTAGTATAATTTGTCTGTACATTTTCTCTATATCTGCAGTTATAGCTATTCTGTGAATTCTGAAACGAATAATTAATGTTGTCAGATCAGTCTGCAACTGTGGACCAACCATCAATTTCTCATTAAGAGAAATACCGCTAGAAGATTTTGCAGAACCATCAAATACGACTCGAAATTTATCACCATTTTTATCCGGAACTGAATGGTGCGGAAGGTAAAAACTAGAATTAGCTGGAACATCAATTTCATTTTCTGGAATCAATTCCATATGACCAAGTTGTTGATAGTCCTCCATAAATTTGTGATATTGACTGGAAAGAGATTTATTCTTAATAAATGTTTGACGTTCATAATAAAGATGCTTTGTAAACGATGTACAGCAACATCCCTTGATGACCCAAGTTCATTGCCAGATCTACGAAATGGAAACTTAACAACAAATCTACTTGTTGAATTACGAGAAAAATTCCGCTTGAAATGATTTTCACACGCAATTTCCTCTTCTGTGTAATGGTTTATCTCCGAAATTTCTTCCAATTTCCAAAATTTTTCAAGCTGGAGCTGAACATTGGTACAACTAGCATGATTAGATACAATTGTTTGTGATACACTTTTAGTCTTTCCGATAATGACCCAGCCGAATATTGATTCCAAGGCTGTTAACGAATGACCCGGAACAGTTTTTTTAAACGTCCATGAAGCATTATCTCGCCAAATACATCTGCGCCTAAAAGAATATCTATTGGGCCAGGCTGGAAACAATTTGTATCTGCCAACCACAAATGTTTGAAAGATGTCAAAACAGATCTATCAACTTGATATTGAGGGAGGTCACACGTGATCTTGGGTATAATTAATGCATTAACTGAAATGCTTGCGTTTTTTTTATAAAATGGAGATGTTACTTGTAATTGAACTGAACCTGAAACCTTTCCAATTTTTTGCGAGCTCAGGCCATTTACACTTACTTATGTTTGCACTAGTATGCGCTTTAAGCTGCAAGTAAATTTACACAGTGCTCCCGAATAAATGAGCCCTGGCTACCTGAATCAATTAGCATCCTGCATTTTTGTAAATTCGCCATTAATATCTTTAACATAAACAACCGCAGTAGGCAATAAAACTGCTTGCGTGACAGGCACCGTGGCGTTATTGCTACTAATAGCAGAAGTTCCATGTTCCATGGGTATATGACATTTTTCATCATTTGAATTTTTCGAACATAACACTGTATTATGTGGCTTCGAACAATATTTACACATGCCTGCACGACATTTAAAAATGGGATGCGTTTTACTATCTTTCAAACAATTAGCACATAATTTATTCCTTTTAATAATATCCCATTTTTCTTTGATAGGGAGTTCTAAAAAGCTATCACATTTAAATAACTGAGAATGAGAATTACTCTTACAATGAATGCACACATTAGCCACAAGTTGGGACGAAAAAGCGTATCTGCTACCTGAACCGCGAGTTTTTTAAAGTTCAGAAGGCAAAACTGCCTTCTCCCTCTAATTGGACTCTATCCTTTTATTTGTGTTGCATCTTATACTAATGTTAATCAAGAAATTTTTATTCAAGATTTTTATGTTACTATTTCATTTTTTAAAATTATTTTGTATGAATTTTTACTTTATCGTATGATTCTACGAACTTTTGAACTTTTTACGGCCTATCTAAACTACTGCATACTTCTGAAGGACTTTGAACTCTTATGCCATTCACAGCTTCAAAACTGTCTTCGCGCCATTTTCATGATGTCTCACTATTGCTTATCCTGCACTCTTACTAGCTATATAGAGCTCACCACCTGCATTTGCCATACACTCACTGAACCTGCCTACATGCTTCAATTAATGCCATTGCTTACCACTGCACAATTTTTATGATAAACGCTACTTTCGTAAGTATTAAGATATGCCTGCTCACGCAGCTGAATTTTCTTCGCCCACGGGTGTTGGTACTTCCCTAGTACCATTTATTTGAAAATATCTTTGCCTAGTGCACTTTAATGCGATCTACTGGCAAAAACTCTTTAGTAGTTAATGACCAGAAAAAAGTAAGTCATAAGTCATAAGTCATAAATTTCAGAAGGCAAAACTGCCTTCTCCCTCTGGCACTTCGCCAAAGAGGCAATAGCATTCGCTCTGTTTAAAATAAAACGCTTGAATTCAGCGAAAGCAGAAATTTTCTTGTTCGAATGCTCTATCGTCCACTCTTTAGTGTTTCATGATCAAGTTTTCCTTTTAACAGAAAAATAATAATAGTATCCCAATGCTCTACTGGCTGTTTAAAAATTTTTAATGTATCAATACACTGTTGTGTTGTATCAATTAATCTCCGCAAACCTGAAGCTGATTCATGTTTTAGAACAGGTTGTGAAGTTAATTTATTTAATGCTGCGTTTATTATTTCTATTTCGTTTTCATAACGTTCAGTTAGCGCTTCCCATGCCTTTTCATAATTCGCGTTTGAAATTTGAACTGATTGTAGTAAAACAGCAGCTTCACCTTTCACAGAAAGCTTAAGATATTGCAATTTTTGACCGTCACTTAATGTACTATTATTTCCAACACTGGCAAGAAATAAATCCGCTAAATGGATATCCAATCAACATAATTAGAAGTAAACACTGGCAAGTTCCTACGCGAGAAAGTTTCAAGCCGTTTGCATTAGCATTTCGTTATATCTTTGCCTGAATTACCTAAGTTTTCTTGATTCTTCCTTTAAGAGTAATTTTTAATACATCCAATTTGGAAAATAGTTCATTGCATTTCTATTTCATATTTACTAAACTCTGCGGTCAGAACAAGTACCAAGAATGTTATCGTTTAAACAGTTCACTTCAACACTTAATGCACCAACATCATTTTCGTACACTTCAATGGCAGAAAAAGAATTTTCTTGATTTTGTAAACCATTTACTTGTGAAATTAAACGAGTCAACTTACCCTTAATGATTCGCTTTTGCTTTAAAATCGACTCCATATTCCTGCCGCTGTTTTCACAATCCAGACAAAATATAAATCTGTTTTCCCTGCACGAAATGTCCTTCTATACCAGAACGTTAAAAATTGTCTTGACACATCATCCAAAGAAATGCTCCTGCTCGACGGACCATGTTAGCGGGTGGTAAGTAGACACAAACGTTCGTTATTGCGTTTATTAGACTGTGTGAAGAACAAGTTCGTACAATAGATATACAGGTAGTTCGGCGCTCGCAGGCGCCCTCTTGCAGGGAACAAAATCAAAATTTAAATAAGGCGCGAACAACTACGTTATTCAAAATTTCATGGCTATCGTCTTTCTTTCAGATTGCGGGGAACATAGGCACATACATGCAGATTCTTCATTATTTAATTTCTGTAAAGTAATATACGGCGATAATATTTGGTGGCAACAATTTGAAAAGTAATGCAGCCGTTTATAGTGGACGACGCAAAATTCCTTTTCGAGACAAATAGCCCATTCGGATTAAATAATTAAAATAATAAATCAATTTTTGGATTAATAATCAAAACAATTAAATTAAAAGACATGTAAAGAAATAAATAGCAGTATAATAAATTTTTGAAATAATTATAACTATAAATATAATAAGAAAATAAAATATCAGACCTTATCTTTTTCGAGGCTCCAGCTGAAATTACAATTTTACTCAAAGAAAGAAAGCCGAAAAAATAAGAAAAAATTGCTGCACCGGCTGACTTTAAGATTGTATATACCGTATAATGAACTATTTCAATGAATAATGGATTTAAAACGGAAAAAAAAAAATTCTCTCGCGCACCAGTGAAAAAGGATAAAGTGATAAAGCTCAGTAATGGGAATAGAGAAAATGCTAATAATAGTGTAAGAACATGGAAGAAATTTTTTTAATGGAGAAGCTTTGAAAATAAAAAAGGAAGATTCGAACGCTTTCAGATCACGACGCCCTGCCGATATTATTTTATCCGTCAAGCAGAAATTTCCGAATCCGATCCAATAACGACGGGGGGAATAAACGTAAGTCCCCTCTATATAAGGATGGAGGTAAGAAAGGACTTCCTCGCCTGCTGTGGTATTTTGGCAAAAAATCTATCAGTCAGTCAGTACTTACTTCTTACCTCCATGTAT